TGGTGGGTGCGTGTGGCCTGAGGTCCAAGGGGAAGTACATGCTTTGACGAATGTGTCCTCTGCGGGAGACGAAGGTGCTAGGCTGGGTATCCTCCCTCGAGCTTAGCAGTAGAGGCTCATATTGAACTGGGAAAAGTTTTATTTTCAATCTCCCCCCCTTTTTTTTTTTATAGTATTTTTTGCATTGAAGTGGTCCTGGGGCAAAAATTGTGTCCCAAGGCGATGGAAAACTATGTGGCGTCGATGGTGCTGAGCGCGGTTGGCGACGCTCTGGGCTATTACAACGGGAAATGGGAGTTCCAGCAGAGTGGCCCAGCCATTCACAAGGAGCTGGCGGAGATGGGGGGACTCGGCAACCTCAGCATCCAAGGTTGGAAAGTCAGCGATGATACGGTGATGCACTTGGCCACGGCCGAAGCCCTGGTAGCTGCCGGGAAGAACCCAAGTTTAGAGCATCTCTATTCCCTCATTGCAAAGAACTACAAGGAGTGTATGAATGACATGAAGGGCAGAGCTCCAGGTAACCCTTCTGTAATGCTGCCTGGGAAGGGCTGCCCTCTCACTGACATCTCTCCCTTTCCTGCAACTTGGAACTGAGGCTGGCCCTGTCTCTGCTTTTGGCTGTCCGTAGTGTTAATTGTATTTCATGTAAAGGCAAAAGTCTTCCACGCTCAGTACATGTTTTAGAATAAGGCAGGCTGAAGTGGTTTGGGCTTTTCTGAACTAGAGGAAAAAGATACTGGTTTGCCCACGTTTACAAAATGTTCTTAGAGGCGTGTTTGAGGCCTGGCCTTGAACTCAGGAGAAGGATGGTGGCTTTTGTGCTCCGGATTTGTGTTTTCCTACGCTCAATGGATGAAAAGTGCAAATTCAACTATATATAACGCACACCCTGAGGTGCTGTGTTAAAGCAATGCATTTAAACAGAGAATTAATACGAAACTTCTCGTAATAAATGCAATAAATTACTCATAGAATATATTCAAAGGCACAAAGATCCTTTCTAGGAATAAGTAAGTTTATTAAACCCAAAGTCTGCTTTTGGCTAGCTCTGCATGTCTGCTTTCTGCGACAGGACAGTCAGGCCACCATCGTCTTTTCTGAACCCTGTACTTCCGTCATCTCTCTTTTCTCGACATAGACACAATAATAGTGCTGAGTTTGGGTCACAGGCAGTGGGGACTGGCAGTGTGTGGCAGTATTTGGGAATGGTGCCTTGACAGGCTGCAGTAGCCAAGCCGTATACAACATATTCCTGTAGTTCCTAGTTCATCCAGGCTCCTGTGGTTTCTCATTCACCCAGGCCTGCTGACCTGACTCTTCCCCAAGGAACCTGTCTGTCTCTGTGCTTATGGCACAGGCTCTTCTCGATGCTTGAATTAAACTTCAGTGAGAGCTACTGAGGCTGGGCCTCTAATTTGACTAGTGCAGGCAGCGTGAAGCATCCAGGAAACACTCAAATTCAGTAATCTTATGCAAACTTTATACATCTAAAAGAAATTGCCTAGATGTGCCTATTTGGAGTGGCCAGAATGTATCAAGAATGTTCTGATTTGACATGAAACCTGGGAAAGGCCAAATCCTGCATTGCTCTTGCAGGGTCACTGAGTGCAGTGTGACAGAGCTGTGCATTTCCAAGGTAAACTAGGTTGGAAACTCAAGCAGGAATTTATTCTGCTTACCGTTCTGCTGTGACCTTCTACTCTCATGTAGAGAGAAACTATCAGTATTCTTTAACACAGATAGTCTCAGTTGTTGGAGTAGCCTAATTAGTGAAATATTTAGGAAGGGGTAACAATGCTTGGCAGGATACCAGGAGTTGGCAGGTTGAACTTCCGAGAGACTATTGTTTTGGTAAAGGAGCATCTTGTAGTTCCCCCAGCTGATGGGGTCTGCCAAGGTGGACTCACCGCAGCTGGCAGTGAGACAGCACCTGGAAGCTATTTTTGCCTCTGCTATCTAAGCTTGGTGACTAAAACCTGAGAAGAAAAGGAGAAGAACCTAAAATTTAAGTGTTAGTAATTAACAGCTAAGGATAATAGCATACCTGCCACAGTCCTTCTGTGAGTAACTGAGCTGCAATATGCTCAAAAGCAGTTCTCATTTGGAAGTGAAGGATTTTAAAGTGAATTTGCTATGGACACTAACTGGAGCGACCAGGAAAGGTCAGGTTACCTAGCTGAACTTTTTTACTGGGTCCATAGACACCCAACCTCATAAAAGTTTGAGGGAGGTCGGGAAAGTAACATGCAAAAATAAGGAACACTCTTCCAACAGCATTCTGGGGTGCTTCTGCTGCAAACATGGGGAAAGGCACTCAGCTTTGAGAGCTTAAATCCTCACACTTAACAGTTTAATGCCCACTGATGTACTACCAGAGGGAACACCTAATCTATATCCCGAAAAGCTGTCTGCAGTCTGGAGTCTCCATGTGTATCGATAAATCCTAATGACAGGAGTTGCATGTCAGTAACTTCTTTCAGCAACTCAGAGTAAATGGGTTTTAACTGAGAACATAACCCAAGGCGATGCTCTTCTGGCCAAAGTAAGCGCTCACCAGGGAATTGCAGCCCTTAAGGCTGAGAATGGAAACTTGCTGCTGTAACTTTCACCCAACGGAGAAGAGATTCCCCCAGAACAGAGGGGGAAAGTCACATTGCTCACCCACACAGGGAGTCCAGACCTGAAAACCAAAACCTGCAGTAACAAAGGGATTCCCATAATGTTATGAGTCACCAGACTGCGAAGGCAGAGTCCCTCAAGAATGCAGCCCCAGGAGAGAACTCGCTCTCTTAATTCAGTGGCAACTTAATCCCTGCATTCGTTATTGCTCTTTGTGATGTGCCACAGCCCCAAATTCGTTGTTCTTCACAGATAACAAAGCGAATGAATTAAGTGGCACAATGAACATGGCTACGTTTCTTTCTTTTTTTTTTTTTTTTTTTTTTTTTGTCCCCCTGCCTCCACAGCTCTCCAGGAAACTTTCTGCTTCAAAACAGTTGCCTCTCACTCGGTGTCTTTTGGTCCAAGTCCTCTCTCTGTGGAATTATTTACAACTATGTGGTTGTTTTAACTCACCTTTTTAATGTGTATTGACAGATCCCAAGCAAGTGTTAATGTCTGTGCTCATGAAGAGTCTACATAATTTGAATGGAAGCCTATTCCAGAAATAGCATCCAGTTGTACTTGAAAGTTTTTCAGGTTGACTTTCTTCACACACTGCTTTTTGCTTGTATTTCTTCTTTTTTTTAGAGCAGTACCCTCCTCAGGTTACTTTTTGTTTCCTATTGTTAGTACAAAGGATTCTTAACCAGGATTTGGTGGATTTCCAAAACAGTTTCCTCATTCAGAAACTCCTAGAGTATTTTTTTCTAAACCTGTTTTGAAAAAAAAAAGGCCTGACAATGTGATTTCAGCTTAGTCTTCCTAAGTCAGCTTTCAGATGTTTTAATACTTCAACGGTTTAAATGCATGAGGATAATAGTTGTAATACTTCATAAATCACAAGTCTTAGCTGTTGTATACTGGTTTGGTTTACACCATTTTTTTTTAATTTTCAGGTTATCAGTAGTCATCTCCTAAAGTAATACACACAGGTTTAAAGCTGTAAGTAAATTGTTATTGCAAAATAACCAGTCTTTCCTTACAGTTTAAACCTTGTCATCTTCCTCATTTTCTTTTGACTATAAATGCAAGAACCATCAAGGACTGAATTGCTTGCTCTCAACCTGCCCAAACATGTCCTGAAGAAATCTTTCTCACAGTTTCAGCAAGATTACCGAGTTCATTTTGCTTTTGTTATGCAGATTTTGATTTTAAGCCACGCTAGTTCATTTGCTCTCTCCCCTTTCCCTTGTCTTCCCGGCAGAAGGTCTATTTTACCAGGAACATACGAATGAGGTAGTCGGCACAGCTTTCTTGGAACGTGGCTTTTTTTGGCAGGTTCTTTTTAATGTCCTATAATAGGTCGTAAGTGCAATGCTTAGTATAGTTAGATTTTTGAAAAAATGCCTCAATTTTCTGTTAATCATCATAAAGTTGGAAATTATACTGATATCCCTCTTAATGATTTTGATACATAGCAGCCAGCACTGAATTAACAAACTACATGAAAGGCAGATTTGGAGGCCTGAACACATTCCCACTTGGAGGCATCACAAAAACAAACTACCTGGCAGTTCAGTTACAGGTTGGTGGTGATCAGTCCCGGTCCAGCCCGGTGCTGCCCACAACAAATGCTAAATGCCTACCGCTTCTTCCAGCAGAGAAACACAGCCCTGCACTTCTCATTCAGTAAATCATCGGGAAGAAGGATGCATAAGGAACATCTGGACTGATCCAGGGGTTGGCTGGCCATGTGGCGCTGCAAAACCAGCAGGTCTCATCTGCTGGAAGGGGTGTGACGCTGGTGTCACGCGAGAGGCTGGTGTGGCGGCACAGTAGGCATGGATGAGGCTGGTGAAATAGCAGGTCTCGTTCCTGCCTGGGTCAGGCGGTGGGGAATACACAAGAGCTAAAGTGGCCTGATGTGGGCTGCGCTGATTTACGGCCTGTTTTTTCCTCTGGGGGAGACTTGCACAGGCCGTTTCCATTCTCAAAGTTGGTTTCAGTCGATAGGCTTGTGGGGCGAATAGCCTGACAGCCACAAGACTGAGCTGCTTTTTCAGTTTGAGACAACCATTCACGGGGAGCTGGTCCACGCCTTCACGCTGCAGAGGGCTGTAACCTGTGCTGATGTAATAAGCCTATAATGTAACAACAGTGTTGGAAAAGAAATACGCTGAAGACACTTAGACCAGAACTATAAAAGGATCCACGTGACCTTATGCCTGACAGCAGCCAGCCATTATTTACTTTTAGCACATGTCCAGAATCCAGTCTTAAAAGCTGTACTTGGATGTGGAGGTATTTTGGATACAAGGGTGCTGTAAATGCCGTGTGCAAGCAAAACAGGCTGCCATATACCAAATCCTACTGCCAGGCGTATACCATGAAAGTGCAGAAGTGAAGAGCTCTGCAGAGTACTTAGTGCAGTACCTGGCTGAGATTAGCAAGCTCCCAGATCATGATGATCAAATTGTACCAAAGATAATTGAATTGTGGAATTCTGTGAAGTTTCTAGACCAGGCTTCTTCCTTGCTACTCTGTTCTACTTAGTTTGACTTTCAAAGTAACAGAGCACCTGCAAGTTTAACAGCTACCTGTCCTGGTTAGGCAGCAAAGTACAGGAGCAATGGTCTGATTTTGGGTGCATGAGCATGTCAACTGCTGCTGTTACCCTGTGTGTCTGAGAAAGGGCTGGGCACGGTGTGGTTAGAAGACTAGTCTTTGGAGTCCATTTTTGTCATTGTCCAACACATTAAAACTTAAATGAAGCTGCTTGAAACCTGCCCTTGATTTACCTTTCTGCTGGAAAAGAAGTATTTAAGATTTGGCCAGAAGAGAAGACTAGGAGAAAAAGGCAATGTAGAAGAGAATGAAAGCTAATTTAATGTTTCAAACCTGTTTCCTCTTCCTTGCACATGAACATTTGGGCTCAGCGCTCAAAACTTGTTTCCTGATCTTGGCTGGGGCAGCTGGTTGGGCTCTGAAATTTGGATGTGTTTGTACAGATGGCTTTAACCTATGAATGTGCTGGACTAACAAGTGAGCGTCTGAAGAAGCAGCGCTGGAATAAGCAGAGTCATTTCTTTAAAAAGTGAATAGCAGAACTATGAAAGAGATGGAAGTGGACAAAGAGGAATTACGGTGTGGCTTCCTGCCAGAAGAGAGGCAAAATTGGACTAGGGTGTCAGCTCGGAGCGGGAGAAAACTCTATATGCAGTCTTGAGTAGCATGGAGCATGGAAAGTCGTTATTTCTTGTAAGAATTAGAGGGAAATTGTCAAATGGCAGTTTAAAACAAGGACATACTTTGCATAACAAAATCGTGGCTCTGGTTACCATGGGATGTTAAAGGAGTCTGAAAGCATGCATGGGTTCAAGCGAAGGAGACCAGTTCATGGTGGCTAGGTCCACTGGGGGTCATTGAACACACCACTTTGGATCCATCTTCTGACTCAAGTGTGTTGTGCTCCTCTGTCTGCTGCAAGCCAGGTGGGTCTTCTAGGGGAAACATTGTACTTGCCTCATTTTTTATAGTCTTTCCATAGTTATCTGTTAGTGGACTAACAGTTAGTCCATGTGTTTGGAGACGAGCTAGTGGGCTGGACAAGCCTTTGGTCTCACCTAGTACACTTGTTAGGGATCCTCCAAACCTCCTTTCTGTTTCTATTTTTATACATCTAGATATATGTGTAAATAATATACTTAATATATATAGTATATATGTTTTATAGGTAAGTTACTAAATAAATAACATGAAATATAATTACAAATAATGTATGTAAATCAGCAATGGAGTGTTTCTTACCCACCTAGACTTTTAAATTATTTTCACAAACAGGAATTATCAGGTCTGCTTGCAAGTACGCAGGATGCACCAGCAATTTAAGGCAGCACACATGATGTGAGCAGACAACTCATGTTTTTAAAGGGAAGCTCCAATCCCTTACACAGAGTAACACTTCCTTCCCCACTACCTTGCCTGTCTTCCCTCAGTTCCCAAGCTACGTGACCCTGTCTCGTACTGGTGCGTGTTTCTGTTTCTTTCTTTTCTTTCTTGGTCTCTGCTGCTCCCATCCAGGTACCATGTGTAAGGAAAACGCGCTGAAGCTGGATCCGGGGCGGCCGGACGGCTGGAGGATCCCGTTCAGCCCCCGCGCGGGAGGCTGTGGGGCCGC